ACCTCACTGTAGTCTAAAAAAACATGAGAAATGGTGTGCTACATATATGCATACATTGTTTAATAATACATCACAAGGGAGGTAACTCAGAAAATCGTCTCCACTTATTAGTCATGTACATTTAAAGATATCTCTTTTATAAGACAGATTAGGAATGTTATATACATTTATATCAGAGCAATATCAAAATAATTTTATCTGTACTGTACTCATTATATATATGCATGTACATGATCATCCTCAATTTCCAGGGGTTACGCTCACGTTCGCTCTCTACACCCCTGGAATATGTCATGGCAAAATTGAAGGCTCGATGTGCGCCACCTTGTTGATGAGACAAGAATACTACTTCGATCTTTTGATGTACATCAAAAGAATCTCGCGGTCACGTGACGGTAAAAATTGACAGGCTTTGAAGTCGGGCGTCTCTACTTTGTAATCTTCAAAGGACGGGTATCAGCCTAGCGATTGGTCAGTTCTTTTTTACCTGACACCAATGAAACAGCTATCTTTGTGCCTTCAATTTTGCCATGATATATTCCAGGGGTGTAGAGAGTGAAAGTGAGCGTAACACCTGGAAATCGAGGATGGTACATGATATGGCTAGAATGGCATTTATATATAGTACATTAGAAAAAATAGCTGATTCAAATCAGTGACATACTTTATGGTAATCTAAAACCCTTCAACACATTTTCATTTGATAAGTGATCTTGAACTGTACTCTGAGAGATGTCTTATTGACTAACAAGGTATACTTCCATGTTATACACAAAAACTCTATCAAGTTTTGATTAATCAGAACTAAAGCCAAAAGAACAGGTCAAAGTTTACGAAATTCAACATTTGTCCAATGGTTTGTATTAATGTATACTTTACTTTGTTAAAATCAAGATAGCACCAATTAAAGTTCTACAAGTGTTAGCGTAGTACAGTCTTACTCACATACAAACTATGTATATCTCCATCAAGTTAAGTATGCATAAAATGGCAAGACACAGGCTATGTATGATCACCATCAGTGTGATGTGTGCATGCAATTATGTTTGATCAACTACATTCTTAGATTTAGATTTTACATACCATAGACAGTTTTATTTATATACTTCTGACTTCTTATGGACCTACTGAAATTTTCATATATACAATACCTTGACCAAAGGAATCCCCCCTCCCCCAGTCATTCTCCCATTCCCCAAACCCCATTGCATTGCCCGCCAGCACTACAAATAAAATCTGTTTCCATTAACTCTTTTCTTGACTACACATATATGTACATTATTTTTACAATATGTAATGGGGAGAGGACTATATTAAGTTGAAATAACTTGATGCCCAATTCCTTTGTATCTTTTGTTCAATAAAATATGTTTAAATTTTAAAAGAAGAATTTTAATATTTAATAATTTGATAACATGACATTCAGAAAATATGTGCAACAATAAAGGAAGAAAAGTCATTTTACAGAACCTTTCTTCCCTCGCTGTTATCATTGAATCATGACGTTTGTTCTATGAAGTAAATGATACCTATAGACCTACAGTGTTTTTCATGGTGATTGTCTATGGGTCTACCATTAAATTCGAACACTGTACATCATAACATGTATAACATCAATGTTTCTGTAAGGTTTAACTAATACATAAAATATATAATTATTAATACCAATATTTTTAAACTGATGTTCAGGACTCGCCTGAAAAACCTACGAAAATCAGTAGTGAAGATGTCAGCATGTAATTTAAGTTTATAGATGTGGAATGTTAGCTGATTTTAGTAGAACATTAGAAATGTTTGTAAAACACACATATGCTCCACTTCTGCTTCGTCGGAAACGAAACTAAAACACAATGTCTGAGCAAAGAAATGGAGAAAAACTTAATATCTTGATTAACAATTATTCCTCCACCTAGACATCTATTAACCAGCACATACATGTATAAGATGTTGGACTCCTCCGCCTCTTTGTGTCTTAATTAACAAAGTTTACTGACTACCGAGAAATTTTCGGCGCAGTTCAATTTTGCTTTTTGCGCCCTCTGTAATAAGGGTGAACTGATCATAACAGCGAACATTAGTTAACAACATAATATACATAGTAATTAAATCTAAATGTGAAAGGCAAATTTAAACCTAGGAAAATATAGATTTTACCAGCCAAGGTCGAACAAATTGTCTGGGCAAAAATTCCCTGGTATAGAGTATGCCTCCACCACTTTGTGAAGGGGCACAAAAAGTACTGCAATACTTCAGTTTGTTTCACAATAATTTACAATAGATATCATAGTATATTGAAATTATCACAAGAAAAACAATATATATCTTGCTCTAATCCATATTTTGTATGAATACGAAATAATGAAAACTCTGATAATGATATCAGACTCAGAGAGACAACACCAAAACAAAAAAATACCATGAAAATCCAAAAAGAAAATACTAGCAAAGAAAATTCAAACCACAACAGTCGAGAAAAGGCTAAAAATGTATCTACAAAAATCTATATGTTATTCTAATGTTTTATTTCATAAATGTATTAAAGGATTGAATGGGAATGTTCATATCTGCTACATCATGAACCAGTTTCAGATCAATACAGCTGATCATAAAATGTTCAACAGTGAATGGCTTGTCACATGGGATACAACATAATAGTAATAGTAAGCAGGGGTGGCATAATTGTGTATGACCCATACCAACTCCAAGATAAAATAATTTCTTCCTTCCGACTGTTTCTCTAATCATGTTTCTAGCCTAGGTACTGGAGTACTATACATACAAGGATTATATGAGAGTGATGAAAAGAATCGACTTGTACATAAAAAGTTCATGACACATGTACAATCACCAAATATACATGTAGGTAAGTTTGAATAATAATGCTAATGATAATAATTTGAGATTCTTATATATCCCTTTATCACAACCTAGTTCGTAGGTCATCTCAAAGCGATTTACAAGTTATTATTCGTGGTTATAGGGCGTTTGCAACCAGCCAATATTGTTCTCAACTCCCTGGGGAGCATACAGCCGGTGCTGCCATTTTGTCGCTCACAGCTAGCGTTTAACAATTCTAGCACTACCCAACCACGTACTCATTTACAGCTGAGTAGACCGGTAGAAGCGGAGTAAAGTATCTTGCTCAAGGATACAATACAGTGCCGTGCCTCGAACCTGCAACCCTTCGGTCACGAGCCCGGCGTCCTACCACTAGACTACCACACCTCCATGAATAATATGAATAATACATGTATAAAAAAGTTGACATTTCATTCATGACAAGACACAACTGGATTGATGATACAACCACCATATACATGTAGGCTGAAAAGTACATTTAGGTTGGACTGATTTTTAACACTATACATATGTAACAGGAGCGGAAAATGCACAGCAAGACCAGGGTTCGATTCCGGGACGCTCCAAACTCTAGACGGACACTCTACCAATTGAGCTATCTGGTCGCCGACGATCAACCCTGTCAAGTTCCGCTACATTATTCATCTCTCCTTTTTCTAATTCTTCACCCCAAAGACACAACTATTTACAACCCAGGTTCGGGTATCCCCTTGCCAAGCTTACACCAAATGCTTGAAACAAGTGTTAGTCATAGGCACCACTGTAACAGTAGCAGAAAAATGCACGGCCAGACCAGGGTTCGAACCTGGGACCCTCCGAACTCTAGACGGACACTCTACCAATTGAGTTATCTAGTCGCCGACAATCGACCCAGTCCAGTTCCCCTTCACATATATATAACTAGCATACTGTAAAGCACCTTGGAGTAGCTTCGTATATTGCAATATAGGTCTCTATGGTTACTGAAATTTTCTATGGTATTATTTATGTTAAGTTGTGTAATTGTATAATTTTTTATCAATCTTAACAAGCACAGTACACAATTAACCCTTTCACCCCTGTTTCACCCCTATGTAACTTTAATAAACATTGCCATACATTGATCTGGATAAGTCCATTATGGTCTACAGTGGTGAAAGGGGTAATTTCAGGAATTTACTCCCATATATTCTGCATGTACTACAGTCAGTGATATACAAAGAAATGTATAAAGTGCTAATGTTATATAAAAAAAGGCAAAATATTTCAAGAAATCCAATACCTCACCTAAGGTTAAAATAGAAAATAAGGGGACATAACTCAGTATAAACAGGTAAAAGACCATATATCTATTTGTAAACTTCTGTCATCCCTATTGGTATGAGAATACAAAATCGGGCAACTGTATGTGACAAATAATTTAATTGTATGAGTTATACACCAGACAAAGTGACAAACAGTAAAAAGGGGCAATAAATCTATCTATAGAGAGGCATTAATTGGGAACCAATTGTAGTACTCGACACTCTACTATCGCAAGAGAACTCACATATATAATTTGACAACTGAATATGACAGAGTACAAGTACATGTATATAAGCTATACCCAAACAAAGTGACACAATGAATGACTGACAGAGTGCAAACCTATCAGTACCAGTGGCTATACTTATAATACCAGGGTAGTGGTATAATTAATAAATACTACAGCAAATCTTAATATTAATAAAGATTTTTTTGTCAAAAAACAACAATGACATAAGAAATTTATAACAAAATGGTATATGAGACATGGTTAGACATAAACAATGATAAAAAATATATAAAAAAAATCTCAAACTCACTTGATCCTACTTTCGTTTTATGACCATTGCTGAAGCTTGTTTCATTAAAAACATGTGTAATGAGACCTCATTTGAGTCCCTCTATATATAAATATATAATAATAATGATAATTCAAGATTCTTATATACCGCTTTATCACAACCTAGTTTGTAGGTTGTCTCAAAGCGGTTCACAAATTATTATCCGTGGTTATAGGGCCTTTGCAACCAGCCAATATCAACAATTCTAGCACTGCCCAACCAAGTACTTATTTACAGCTGAGTAGACTGGAACAAGCAGAGTAAAATATCTTGCTCAAAGATACAACACATCGCCTTGCCGTGACTCGAACCCCCGCAACCCTTCAGTCACGAGCCTGGCATCCTACCACTAGACTACCGAGCCTCCTATATCCAATGTGGTCCTAAATCTGGCATGTGACCCCGGGGATTATTGTATTTACACTCATATAGGATTTTGTCAAGAACCACTATACCTTTTCCCAATCTAACACAGGTAAAGCTGTATTACAATTTCCATGATAGATATTGATGTGACCTTCACATTTGAAATAAAGGTCAAACACATCCTGGTAACCTTTGTCCCTCCACCACTCACAGAGCTGTCTGTTCCATGTACATGGTAGAATATGGAACAGGTTCTCATGTGCCATGGAAACTAAAGAGAAAAAGTCTTGGTCGCCAAGGTGACCTTTGAATGAAAATTCAGTGGTTAGTGATTTCACTGAGGCAGCAGTCAGTAGGGAGTTGTAACGCTCTGAAGATCTCATCCTCTCCAGGTCTAAAAGCAACACACCACTATTGAAGCCTGTAAGACCGTTCGGGGGCGGATCTCCCACACGAGTGCCATGGTGTCTTGTTCTATACAGTGAAAAAGTGTGGCGATATACTGGTTGGTTCTCTCGGGCAATACCCATCACATTGTCATCTGAAAATTTGTAAAATTCTTCATATAGTTTTGCTATGTCAGCATTGAATTTGAGATCTGCATCAAGCATGATGACATTAGTGATAGAATCCGGGAGGACTTGATGGAGTGCCATGGAAAGGAAGAATAGAGCATCGCTATAGTAAGCTCCAGGTTTGTAGCTGAAATAAGGCTGCATCTCCTTCACAATCTCATGTAACTCCTTTGCAAGGTTCTCGACATCTAATGATACCATCTGTATATAAAAAAAAATATGAAATATTAATTTTGTACAATGTTTTATATTTTGTCTATATTATTCCATATTAGAGCATGTACAGTATGAGCAGTATAAAGTTAAAGTGGACAAATATACTCTTACTAAAAACTGCCTCCAAATAAAAAATAACATCTGCCAGCTAATCATTTTCAGACCCTGTGTGGAGGTACTACACAAGTTGCTCCTGATGCTGGGAGTCTAATCCACTCTATTTGCTCAGAGGATCTTGTATAAAATTAACAAAAAACATTGATGGGACAAATACATTTATTTTCATTAAAAAATGTCAGGTTTTCTTATTACATGCATCTTTTATCTACAAAGAATGCATTACAGCAGAAATGAACAAGCTATTTTATCATAAGCTCTCTGACCCTCTAGTTTTGTGCTACACAGGGACCTGAGTGTCAAACTTGTATGTTCTCATTGTATACCCAAAGAATCTAAAAGTGCAGTCATTCTGAACAGGATTTTAATCCAGGACCTCTGGAATCGAGACAGACTCTCTAACCAATGGAGCCAGTGATTGACCCAGTCAAGTTCCACCAATAACTCCTTTTCTAGGTATTTGTCCCCGAAGACAACACTTTTTAAAACTCAAAACATGGGTTGACAAGCTTGCCAATTTTGTAATAGGAGAAAAAGAAATGCAACTGTGAGCCAGACTGGGGTTTCGAACCCGGAACTCTCCGTACTCTAGACGGAGTCGCTCTACCAATTGAGCTACATATATACCTGGTCGCCAATGATCGATAGAGGGTCAGACATTTTAACCACATGGCCACTGTAGCCCCAAGCTGCATATGAAAATGTGTTCCTTTAATGTACTTTGCATTGTACATGTTGTCGTTGGCAATTTCTTGTGAGTGGATGGATGAATCAATTGCAAAAATTAAGTTGCCCAAAACAACAATGCAAAGTTACCAGAAACTTACAACAGTTAATTCTATATTAAACTATTACCGTATATTTAGAGTTGTATTTGCCTGCAGCTCCTTCAATGATGCGGTCAGCCAGGTCCTTGCTCTCATCATCTCCAATGATATACAGAGAAATAGGTACTGTGGCCCATTTAAACATAGAATCCACAGTCACTTCAAATTTTTGTTGGAGTGCTCTGTTATCTTTGGCCTTACTAAAGGTTATAATGACATCAATGTTGTAAAGTTTTTTCTTCACATCTTTTTCCACTGTTTGCTCTGTAGTTGCCCTCAGCTTTTCCTTAGCATCGGATTTGTAGTATATCTTATTCGTTGCAGTAAAAGTTTGTGATGACCACGGCCAGAACTTAAAAAGAATATAAACGAGGATGCATCCGATCATTAAGACCAGTATCTGAGATTTCTTAATGTAAATCATGTCCATTTATCTAGATGTAAATTAAGTTAACATGGCTCATCTCAACTCAAAGTGCGTTTTTTTCCTTATCAAACATGCCAGTGACAATGATCTACTTTCATTTTCACATCGATATATTTCTCAACATTGGTTCCGGTTGTTGAAAATAGACATTGTTCTAACTAATGTTTGTTTTATAATTATGCATGTCAAAATATATTGTGTTTATATCGGCCATATTATATTTGATACTTGCAATTTTAAAGTTGTAAATAATATAACTGAGAACACAACTTGAATATGTAATCGAACGCGCCGCTAATTTGAACCAATCATTTTTTAGAACAACATCATGTGACCAGTTTTCAATCTCGGCGGCCAAAATGGAGAACATGTTCATGGTTGTCCATTGATACATGACGGAAAGTGTAATAACTGGAGTCTTCAGGTGAAAATATCAACATTGCAGGTACACTTTTGAGTTGTTTTGTTTGTATTTTCTTATTTTTGATCGCAGTTTGATCTCTCCTTCTACGGCTTTTTACGTTACTAGGAACGCTTACTTGCTCAAACCTTGTGAGAGAACTTGTGCCTACATGTTTTGTTGGTAAAACTGTCTACTGAGCTGAGTGCTGCTGATTGATGTCAAATCTTAATTAAGGTATACGTTGTTACAACAGACTACGAAAATGCAATTGCTATAACAAACCACTGTATATATACCAATTTAAATTAGTTGATAAGTCTTGGAATTTACCCACCATACTATAAACATTTGCATACAAAAATTATGAGATCGACTTCTTTTATACCCTCTGTGATAGAACAGAACTCGACCACAGGTGATGGACACACTAATATGATGTGCATATATAGGCCTTCTATATAACTATTATAGTAATAGATCTAGACCTAACCCATCATAGTAGAGTGTCCAGCACCTGTATCTGTCACCTTGACCAAGAAAAGTTTATATACAATATTGTAATAGGACGAGGAAAAGTGATAAAGATAGTGCTATCACTGGGCTCAAACCCGTGACCCTTGGCTCTCCTGCCCGATTCTCTACCACTAAATTCCCTCTACCTCGAAGCTAGAAGGCGACCATAATCCTACATTGTATGTATTTTTATTTATAATTAAAATCTGCCACACTACTCCACCCTTTTTAAATGTGTTCTTCCTTGAACACCACAACCCAGGTTGTAACTCCCGGTCACCACAGGGAGGGCCACAGACACCATTGGTGATTTGTAACAGGAAAGAGAATATAACTTGCTTCCACCGGGGATCGAACCACTGAGCTAAAGGGAAATTTCCTAAAGCCGACGCTTGTAAAGCAACCTAATTAATCCACATCTTTTACAATATTTACATATATATAAATACCATGTATATTGTCTGTTTGAAAACATGACATTAAGAAGATATATGTGTAATAATAAAGGAAGAATGGTAAGTTATCATAAAAGAAATATATTGTACGTTTCATAAAAAATAACTGCCAAAGGATATGACGATAGATCTTGGAAGTTATTATATATTAACTTTAAAAAATAAGAATCGCTATCGTGATAATCAATTTACATTACCAATCTTCCAATATTTTTATTTACTATGAGAATTTCGTCTAAAATAAAATTGTGTGTGCAAAATTTGTAAAAACCATAAATGGCTCAGAAACTTTAAAGAGTCCACATGAAAACAGTAAAAATGTGAAGTTCATCTGAAAATATGAATCACATTTTATTTTTTAAACTTTTAAGATGTACATGTAATAGTTATACGGAAGCTTAAGTGTGACATTCTCGATCTGTGAATTGTGCATGCATTACCTTCAAGTACATTATTCATTGACTATATATATATCTGATCTGTAGGTATGGATAAACAGTCACCTTAAATCTAGTTGAGTAGTTCATCCAGCCACCATCATAAATCTGATTGTCTTGCTATGGACATTATTATGTAGAGTTCTATATTATCTAGTTGTTGATTTCAGGGAACAGCATTTTTTATCTGAACAAACTTGCATATTGTACTAGTAAATGTTATCCAAGTGTCTCAATCCCGCAAATTTTGCTGGGAAAAGAATTGGTTGGCTTAAAAGCTTATTTAGGATGAAATTCATAGCTTGAAACTACTGTATGTTAATTTATATATATTTGATACTTTTAATTTTTTTATTCAGGTGTTTATCAGTCAAAGAGATGGATATAGATGAACAATTGCGAGCCCAGAGCAAAGTGCTGCTGCAGCGCTTGAAGGCAAGACAAGGCAAACTTCAGAACATTGTCCACTGCCAGTCAAATGAAGATACAATCTCCAAGGAAAACAATTCAGAAAAAATAGTCAAAAGCATTATTCCACAGAAGTCTAGTGCACACAAGTGTTCTTCTAATGAAGCAGAGTTAGATGTATCCACTACAGCAGTAAAGAGACCAAATAGCGGTCAACCTCGCGCTCGGCAGCAGTTAGCAAAAGCCAGGCAAAATAGCAGGAAGAAATCGGATGGGGATAAACCACAAAAAGTCTCCCAAGGTGTGCTTACAGGCTCAAATAATTTCAATACACACAACCAGAAACTAGATGTTGGGGACAAAGACATCCATGAAGAGGGTGAAAATAGTGTTACCACACCAAAAGTGATTGATGATGAAGACCGGCTCTGTGGTCAGTTGTCAAATTTGAGGTCAGATGTCGTTAGGTCAAGGAACACAGAAAGAGATACAGATGCAAAAGAACGCAGGAAAATAATAGACAAAAATGTGAAAGTAGATTCTCAATTAAATGAAAGCGAGTTATGTAGGGAAGATGACAAATCAAGGTTGAACTTCAGTTACTCTAAATTTGACGAAAGTGATATAAATTATCTGAGATCTAAGTTTGGTAGCCGTCCAGAAGACATTGATATAGACAAAGTAGAGGACAAAGCTACAGAAGAGAACAACAACGCTGCTGACCACAACACAATGTTACAGTCGGCAGGAAACGACAGGAAGACAGCAAACTTCATCCGTGACACCATGAGCAAACCAAAATCAATTCTTTTCTCATCTGGACCAAAGGATCTGAAAAAGGTATACAAGAGTTAAAAACGAATATCAAATTACTTGTAGGTGATATACATACATGTATAATGTTCATCTGTCAGACTTAACTTAGATCTGTGAGTTAATGTTCCAAGTGTTATATATATATTAACTCATTTTTGTAATCACAAATTTAGGTAATTCTAAAATAATATTGGAGCTGTGCAACTGCAAATGTATGTACATTGTACTCTGTACATCTTATGGCATATTCTAAAGACAGGAAATGATCACCTCAGTTTTAGCCAGAGTTATAATTATCATCAGACTTTTTTAATGCCTAGGGTTGCAGGATAGGGAAATTCCACCAGAGGATTTTCAAGGAAAACCTGAGGCTTGCCGAAATTCTTAAAATTTTGCGTGCTGGCTACAGTATTAACCCTAAACATAAAGTTGTACATGTAGATTCCTGCTTTTAAAGAATCATTTATAAATAATTAACAAATGAGGTAGTATTTTTTTCTTTCTTAATAATTAAGTTAAATTATACATGATATATATAATTGTGTAATACTACCTTGTTTGTGGTGCTTAGTCCCTCAGTAAGGTGAGCTTTCTGTCGTCGCGGGACGGAAGTATGAGTGTCCCCGATATGGATCGCCACCTCCTTGGTTACGACTGGATTGCTGCGTTGCTAGACAACGATCGTGGAGCTATGGACCATTCCGAGTCCTACTTTGAAGAACTGAGAGAATTTCGACGAATCAACAGAGATGAATGCATCAACAACTTCTACATGGAGTGAGTATACGAAGCGGAGCGGCCATTCGTTATTTTTCAACGGTTGTTCACTTGCATCATCTAAGGTCGTATATTATGACAGGATTTGTAAAATTACAAAATACACATACGATTGTTTTGTGTAGGTATATATGTTTATATAATACTAGAAATGATTTTCAAATTGTTGTTGAGTAAGCATGAAAATTCTTAACTCAGGAATAGTTATCCTTGGTTAGGAGGATTCTTGCTGATTCAATCCAACTAGGTTTACTGTCATGAAAGAATTAATAGTAATTTTGAAAACAGTCACTTAAGGAATGAAAGGTTTTTTTTCAATATTCATGAGGTCATAACAACATTGGCTTTCTGGACATAACGCGATTTATGGTAAATATATCCAGAAAGCCATATTGTTATGACCTCATAAATGTTGAAAAAAAACAATTCATTCCTTACTTTTTAGGCGCTTTAAATGTTCCGATGCAAACATAAATAAAACAAATACAGGTATAGTTTTCTATTTATGCATGGGGGCAACGTAGTTGAGAGAACAGCTTTTATTTGCCGGAAAATGTAAAACTTCTGTTGGTGGTCCTAGCAACAGCATGACAACAAAACAAACAAAATATAGTTACTTTTTCAAATTTAATTTGTAGAATTTATACAAGTGGTATATTATTATCATTTTCTTAACACCCCTTATTAGATATTAAACTCAGTCAATCATGTTTAATATTAATTCATATTAGTATAATAAAACTACATAGAGGGCTGTTCCACGGTGGATGTGAACCAAGTATGTCATATGTGCTTCGTCATTTTAGTATATCAATATGCAGTGATGAGGTCACCTGTGTTATGCAAAAATAAATGTCATTTTCGTCAATGGCTCCAAGCAGACAGAATGTAAATACTTATTTAGTAAACAGTTCATAAAATGACTGTACCATGTACCGTAAAAACTTGTGTTATTTGCGCACTTTTTTTTGCTTGTGAATTCATGAGTAGCATTCATTGTAAATTAATAAAACCTACATGTATAATGAATTCAACCATGAAATTTATGCACATATCCGTTACGAAACATCTTCACATTTCTTGCAAAAAAATGATTCATCCCAAAAAAATATGTTGTGAATAAAGTTTTGAAAAAAATATATTGACTTTTAAACAAAATTATTATGCTTTTAGTCATAACGAGAACTGAAGTTTAATTGTTTACCTATTTTCCACTTTCCAGTATATTTTGCATAAAATTTTGTTTATGTCTTGAAAACAGTAAACTGTTTGTGTTCCAGTGGTGTGGATGAACTCCTAGCCAACAGAGACCGTGAGGCGTCCCCCGTGGCTGAGGCCTTGGAGGTAACAAGTAAGTACAAGTATAGGTATACATAGCAGGGTTTGATTGATTGATTGATTGATTGATTGATTGATTGATTGATTGTAATTGATTGATGGGGCTTTATTTCCTTATTCTGGTTACTAACTACTGAGCCTAGGATAAGGTAGTGGGGTAGATGCTATCTAGCCTTTTAGAAATTAGTACTCTCCCAGGGGTTTATCAGGGAACTGTTTAGATCTGTTTAAAGGACCCATTCCCAATTGAAAAAGTGTGCAATTTTTCACAATTTACCCCTTTCAAATTCCCAATTTGGAAGTCTAAACAAATAAATGCATATATCATTAAATAAATTCCTACCAATTGACTGATTTCTTAAGGTGCAGCGTACAAAGGACGGACATAATGATCATGTTGTCATAAAGACAGGCTTAGGTAAAAGTTAAACAGAGTTCTGATCTAGAGTTGTGATTAGAATGATTATCCAAATTTACCAATATGGCTATATTATGTCGATGTTTTTATCCCAATTTCATCAAAGGGTTCGTTTCCCGAAAACACCTGTGATAAAGCCTTGTCCATTTTGATACAACAATGTGTGAAGATTTGAATACTTGGCCGATTCCTGTTTTTGCTAGCAGACCTCTTATTTTCAAACTTCATTGGTTACTACTGTAAAGATAAAAAAAAATAAAAAAATTGCTTTATAACATTAAAAGTACCATGGTGTACTATTCAGAAGTTTGTTTATGTTAGCATAAATTTATGCTAACAATCACATATTTTTAATTTCTCTGGTCAAATATCCATTCATCATGATTGAGAACTCAAGGGGGGTTATATGTGAACTTTACATAAATTATGATCCAATTGGTATCCATCCAATACAATTTCAATAAGTTTGATAAATAGTTCTGATTCAGTGTGTTTATAAGGCTTACGCATTGTTATCCATTTATATACTTCCTGTGCTGTTTGTTTTGCAAACACCAAGCTTGAAAAAAAGTGTCTATGCTTTTGTTTGGTGGCTGCTGATCAACATGGTATCACATAGATTATCTTGCCAGATAAAGACTGCTACTTTGTGTTTGTTTTCTAGGAGAAAGGCGCAAAACTGTCCCTAGTGAGTGGAAAAGGCCATATTCTCCCATACTAGATAGTTAATTCATGCATGTTACACCCACATTTGGGTAATAACTTTAACCTGATTCTATTGGCTAATATGATCTGTGATCTATTTATGAAATCACAAAAATATAACAATGGTTTATGCTGGCATATTCCATTGTAATATCTTGATTCACAGCAAATTTTACTGAAAGTCCAGGAACAAACCATAATTTTGCTTCCAAGAAAACCATCAGATTTTCCGGAATTAGCATTAATGATGTTATGGGAGAAAAGTTTTCCCAAACTTTTGATGCCTGTTTATTTATCTCTTGTTAGTTAATTTTCAAATACATAATAAAAATGCACTCTGACAGTATACACTTATCGTAAATGGCTTTTACCATTTGAAAATTAACTCAAGTCAGATGAACATTATAATCAACCAGCTCTAGATCTTGTTTGGGAACCAATTATTTACTGACAGTAATTCCGTCTTTTCGTATTGCAGAGTTATCTGCTCTTGTGAGCAGGCATTGATTGTTGCGTCATTAGTTTGTGCGAGAAAATTACGTCGTTTTCTCAAAAATTTATGACGTTACTCTCACAAACAAATGACGTAACAATCAATACTTGCTCACAAGAGCAGATAACTCTGCAATACGAAAAGACGGAATACTGTGATTGGCATGCCTCGTTAACTTCAGTTCATTACTATTGTAACTTTATACTGACATGTTGATATTTGATGCCTGATGGAAATTCTAGGCCACTCTGCTGAAGGGGGTCAAGATGTTTCCTCACAGTTTATCCGTTGAATTCCATTATTACAGTTGTAATTACTTGTTATTATTTCAGTTAATTGTTTAACTTGTTCACCCCTACAATTTTAAACTGGACTTGCCCATTTATTGATCTGGTAAGGTTCAAATGTGACTTCAGGGGTGAATGAGTTAAAAGATGATTACAAAGTTAATGTTGTTGCATTTCAAAATTTACAAAAACTCCATAAATTTTCTTCCACACCCAAAATTTCTTGACATTTAACCCTTTCACCACTGTAGACCATAATGGACTCATCTAGATCAATGCATGGTAGAGTCTACTAAAGTTACATAGGGGTGAAAGGGTTAATTGTAGTGGGGATACGTGTCAGACTATTTTTCTGCATAGTTTTGGCGGTGTTCATCCCTGAAAATATCAAAGCACTGCTCTTTTCCTACTAAGGCAGCATACTGTTTAGAAAGAATGTAGCACATGGTGAATTTAATACTTTACCTTATAAAATCTAGATAACAGGTATTATGAAACTATAGGTCTTATGTCAAGAAATAATTAGGCTCATGGCTTTAGATTTTGTTTAAAAAAAAAATACAACAATTTCCCATCACTCTTGTTTTGTTTCAGGTCCAATTGGTAATCAAACATTGATACAAATAATCTAACTTACTCATGCATTTTAAACTTAAATCAGCTACCAAATAACTCAATCATTTTAATATCTGCAACAATTTAATATGTTTAATATCATATAGTGTACTACTTAACATAAATGTGAAAAGTGTTAAAATGAAATCTTCTTAATTTCTTATCAATACAAGGTACAATAGAATATTGAAACATTTACATTTTTATCACAAAATTTTGAAGTATACAGTTTGGCTTTTTGTCTCAGTTATCTCCCTTTTACTACATTTTATTTGGCAGAAAATAAATTCATAACCCAGATGAACATATATAAGTCGTTGTCAATGCATAATTCAACTGTGTACTATCGATTTCATAAAAGATATGTGTTCATTTCTTAGTGAGGAACCCATGTTGAAGGGAGATAATTTTCACCTTTAGAAAGCTTAAAAATTACCATAAAACATTATATACTTTAGCTGTTTTTTTATTTTTTTGCTGAATTCCACCTTCAGCATGAGAATACATTCAACATGGGTTAAAACATATAAAAGTTGGCATGCAGTGCTAGTAATATCCGGGGACAATTTCTCTATTAGGCAAATTCCTTTTATTAGATCACAAGGGAGGTAAATTTGGGGGTTGGGCAAATTTAGATTGAATTGTTAAAAAAATAAGAAACCAAATTAGGTGCTAATACGATTTTACAAAACCTGATCATGCTGGTGTTTTGTATTTCAGAGGTGAAACCATACACAGTCAATGATAGGCTGTTCACAGAGCCCCTAAAACAGCAAGTGTTCGACTACTCGACCAACGATGACAAGGAACACAAGAAAACAAAACCTCCTACATTTGAGGAGCCGAGATTTGTCAGGTAAATTTAACTGTGCATTAGTATGGCATATGAGGTAACTGAAATTTTATTTTTGAATGTAATTACTTGAAGCGAAATATTCTTAATCATATAGATTATACACCATTTTTGTTTTAAATCACTAGAAGACTGATTACCAAGGCCTTTTGAAGTTTCACGTTTTTTCTTTCAGGAAAAAAGCAATCATTCTTATGAAGAGCCGTGAAACTGGGAACAGAATCAGTCATATTGTGCTTTTGATAGTTTTTAAAATAGTTTTGCGGTCGCATGGATTTCAACCTAGCTTTGTGATTTACAATGTATGTGTATGTATATATGTGTGAATAAGTATATATTATTTATGTACTGGTAGTGCCCTTCTCATAATTATCCTCAGTGTCCTTTAATTATAGACAGATGGACAAGGCATAAATCATAATTATTCAATTCATTTTCAGGGTGAGCATACCGAGGTCTACCCTGCTGTCTCCTCATCGTGTTAAACCACACCGCAGAAAGAGCATTGACGACACTGATTCCTTCTCTTTATCTACGGTAAGTACCGTATTATCTCAATGTGGGGTTAAACCACACCGCAGAAAGAGTATTGACGACACTGATTCCTTCTCTTTATCTAAGGTAAGTACCGTATTGTCTCCTTGTGAGGTTAAACCACACCGCAGAAAGAGTATTGACGACACTGATTCCTTCTCTTTATCTACGGTAAGTACCGTATTATCTCCTCGTGGGGTTAAACCACACCGCAGAAAGAGCATTGACGACACTGATTCCTTCTCTTTATCTAAGGTAAGTACCGTATTGTCTCCTTGTGAGGTTAAACCACACCGCAGAAAAAGTATTGACGACACTGATTCCTTCTCTTTATCTACGGGAAGTACCGTATTATCTCCTCGTGGGGTTAAACCACAACGCAGAAAGAGCATTGACGACACTGATTCCTTCTCTATATCTACGGTAAGAACCGTATTGTCTCCTCGTGGGGTTAAACCACACCGCAGAAAGAGCATTGACGTCTCTGATTCCTTCTCTTTATCTACGGTAAGTACCGTATTGTCTCCTCGTGGGGTTAAACCACACCGCAGAAAGAGCATTGAAAACACTGATTCCTTCTCTTTATCTACGGTAAGTACAGTACTTTATAGTCTGTATAATGGGTTTGATTTTCTTGGCACATCTTTTTGTATTATCCTCTATTTGTTCAGAAATCTATTATAATAATGAATACTGAAGTTTTCACCTACCGAGACATTAAATATTATAGCTCTACCTGTGTATGTGTGTTAACAATTTGGCATTAAAAGCTATTGATTTTTGCTGCAGTTTAACTTCAGCATTAGCACAAAGAGTAAATTTATCATTACATCTAATTAATATTAACTGTGTGAAGTTGACAATGCCATGTTATAAAACCTGAAGCCTGTGAAGGATGGTAATCCGAGCCATCATCTTATTGCTGATTATTCTGTATTGTAGCATTGTGTGAAGGGTTATGAGAACGCTGTGCCCTCCATGGTCCCGGCCGCCTCCAATGTGGGTCTTCGAGATGCAACCTATGGTACAAGATCTGCGATTCAGACGGTGGGTAAAAATCATGGGAGAGGCGGCTTAATTCAATATAACTTTCTGCTATGAATTCAAGAATACCAATTCACTGACTTCTTGTCATGTCCAGTCCTTGACCAGTGTTTGTGAAAAACTCCGTCACAGGACATTCGGTGATCAGTTACTAGATGTTCACAGGACCAATTAGGGCTTTTGTCTGATCAATCTTTTCATTAATATAAAAAGATAGAGTACACAACTTCACACTATGGCATCATAGTTTATCAGAGTTGATTATTGAATCAAATAAGTTTTAACAAGAATGAATTTTTAAACTAAAAACTCAACACAACTGACTACCTGACATCTGGGCAGATAATAGTGACGTTCATGTCGGACCAAATAGTTTTTTTACCAGATTTGTCAGACGGTCCGGTGCTTTTGGGAGACACTGCTGGACCAAAACTTCTGTTAGTCTGCTCATCCAGGTCTTAACCTGTAATCATTATCACTGCAGGTTGTGTCCAGGAATAATAGTCCTCACTTTTTTTCGTTTTAATTGCAATTTTGCTGTATTCAAAATATTTTGATACAGAGGTATTTCGTTAATGTATTGCAATATTATGTAAAATATGCAATATGCAAGTGTATAGTGATATAGTGTTTTTCGATATGATGAGAAAGCACTATTTTATTGTTAGTATTTATTGCATTACTTGATTTGCATCATCGATATTGAGGGGTTACGCTCACTTTCACTCTCTACACCCCTGGAATATGTCATAGCAAAATTGAAGGCACGAAGATAGCTGTTTGATTGGTCTCAGGTAAAAAAAAACTGACCAATCGCTAGGCTGATACTTGTCCTTTGAAGATTACAAAGGAGAGACCCCCGACTTCAAAGCCTGTCAATTTTTACCATTACATGGCCGCAAGATTCTTTTGATGTACATCAAAGGATCAAACTAGTCTTCTTGTCTCATCAACAAGGTGGCGCACACCGAGCCTTCAATTTTGTTATGACATATTCCAGGGGTGTAGAGAGCGAAAGTGAGCGTAATCCCTCGATATCAAGGATGCTTGATTTGTTGCTGTAATCTATCAGAGATACAGTGATTGTGTCTGGTTTGTAGTTGAACAGAACTTGTTCATCGAGATCAACTGATAGAATAGACCATTGGACAAGAAGACAGGTTTATTATTTTTATACAACAATGAAAACTTATTTATTTTGGTGAAAGATGGATTGCTTTTACTTACCTGGTACATGTATTTTATTGTGGTGACAGTGTAATTCTCTTCAGGAACTTCATGTGGTGTTGTTAAAATTAACACAAGCTTCTTTGAGTTGACATCGTATCATTGTCTCATTTTTTCTTGCTTTTTAAGAATACATGTATATTGATTTGTGTGTTTCGCTTGTTAGATATATGCAATGGGAAATAATTTTCTAAAAAAAACACGAATTTATAAAACAGAATTTGGAGAAAACATGTTTTAAGTCTCTATGCATCGAAAATTAGGCTTAACTTTTGGTGCATAATATAAAAGTAGGAAAATATCTCGTCGCTTTTATAAATATTTTGGGATTTCTTTGAGTATATTAAGGGTTAACCCAGCTTAATTCTTTTAAAGTAATTGACTAATGACTTAATTAACTATTTCAAAAATCTAGTGAAGTGATTTATCAATTACGCCAGCTGTCTATCACCATTGCTTTCCGAATTGATTTGCCTTTTTGCCTATCTCGTAAAACTAAGGGAACAACACAAAATGACCTGACTTTTTAAAAGATGGGCCATAAAACAGTACATTTCATCATACAGCTATAACTCTGTAACATATAAAAATACGCTTTGTATGGTTTAGGATAAATATATAAAATTATTATTAAATTTGTATAATTATAATTTAACTAGAACACTGACAGGTCAGTAAGGGCCCCGTCTTGTGGCAATATATCCCCCATAAACATCAAGATGTAATCTGCCCATATAGCTGAGCTTGACGTTTGACATTTGGACTTCAAAAAGAATCGCAAGGAAGCAAAATATACATTTTACATGTACTATGATGTGAGTCTTGTTTCCTTCCACCTCCATATTTGCTGGGCTAACAGAAATGTAAATACTGGTGCAATACTCATTTGTTAGCTTTGATTTGTTTTATTTCACCTTATATACCTCCTCCATCAAGAGCCAGGGTCAAAGTCAGAGATCCACTTTGTCTTTGACCTTTGGACCCAAATGACCTTGACCAATTACCCAGTGACCCTGATCTTTGGTCAGTTGACTAATTCTTTAATTCCGACCAACTTTGCTTCTTAATATCATAACAAAATGTTCTTCAGTGAAAAATTCAAAACTTGACCTTGACCCTTTGGACCCCGTAACCTGGACCTAAGGTCAGTTGACTCTGTGTTGAGTTCTGAAAAACATTGCTTCATAATGTCATAACCAAATTATTCATCAGGGAAAAGGTACAAAATTTAACCTTCGCCTTTGACCTATTGACCTTGACCTTTGGTCAATTGACTCCTTTAATTCTGAGCAACATTGCTTCAAAGTGTCATAGCGAAATGTTCACCAGTGAAAAGATACAAAATGTAACCTTGACATTTGATCCAATGACCTTGACCTTTGGTCAGTTGACTCCTTGTTTAATTCTGATCAACTTTGCTTCATCATGTCATTACAAAATGTTTATCAGTGAAAAGATGTAAAATTTGACCTTGACCTTTGAACCTAATGACCTTGACCTTAGACCTTGAATTTTTACCTCAATGTGTATTTTTGTGAACTGAACATCTTGACCAAGTTTCAAGTACATCGGTCAATAAATAACAAAGTTATTAGCCAGGATCAAAATTTGTGGACGGACAGACAGACAGACAGAGTGATTACTAATTATTATATTCATTTATACTATAATTTTATTAATTTAACACTTCATAGTCAAATCTGTACATGTATCTGTTATTCAAGTTAAAATAAATGAAAGTTAATTCTGATAATATCCATGTCTTAAGGTATAAAAGTGTATGACAGTTATATGATATTTTGTTATTATCTTCGTAAGGCCTTGTATTACTGTTATGTGTTGAGATCTTTCTAGTGTTAACTCTGTTATTCAGTATGATTGAAATGGGCTCAATGATCTGAACAATGTATATACTGTGTATCGGGATATTTTTTGCCCTGTCAAATTTTCGCCCTTTGCCTGAAAAATCCTAGTTCACCTAGTGTTGATTTTGCCTTTCACATTCATTAACTATGTAAATGATGTTGTTGACTAAGCTTTACATTAATGATAAATTCACGCTCATTACGGAGGGCGCAAAAATGCGAAAATTAAATGGCAGCGAAAATTTCCCCGGTATACAGTATATAGTCTAAGTTGGTTCTTTTAGTTGAGAGGTTTTGTGATACTGGGGCTCTGGGAAATACAATTGAGATTTCCAAATCTTTGTTCACATATATCTATACATTTAGGTGAACTTTCTCTGATTACATAAATTTCTGTCACTGCACAGTCAAAGTGCCAGACCTCCAACCGTTTATAAAGAGAAAATGTGTCTTGCTGTAAGATTTTAAAATCGGTGAACTTTTTGCCATTAATGACAATAACAGTTTTATTTACCCAGTGCTACGATATCACATTTCACATTTGAAAGATGTTGTAAATCAAGTTGTACACTACCTGGTATTAACCCATTCACCACTGTAGACCATAATGGACTCGTCCAGATGTATGTAGAGTAGAGTCTACTCAAGTTACTAAGGGGTGAAAGGGTGAAACATTCATTTTGACAGTGAATTGACAAACGTTTTTGTATTTCCTAGAATTAGGCTTTACTGTTGTAATTCAACTTTTGGAAGCTTACCTCTATGTGCCCTATATATATTCCAGACGTTGGCGGATGCTGAGAAGGTTGCAGCCAGTTTTCCTTATCCCTGGACATCTTCTGCCACGGACAGGATCCGCCAGCCTCACTCTGACCACACAGACCTTTACAAGTCATACCAGGACATGACCTTGCCCTCACGTCTCCAAACCAGCACTGGAGGAACGGGAGAGGAATCAGTGGCCCTCAAACAGGCCACAGAAGACCTTCTGAACTCCACTTATTCACTTATGTTCGAGATGGAAAAGATCAAGAAACAGAGAGATGGACACAGTACTCGTCAGATAGGAAATGTGGCTTACTAATCCTAGGATTATGCTATCATTTTAGACTTGGGTGCTTTAATTGTCATTGGTTTTGGGGGCAATAAGTAGAATCTTGTGCTGATTTTGCACTACTTTTGATAATTTTCTATTTTTTTCCTATCAAATTTTTGCTCATTCTCATATTCTGAAGCAGATTTTTTACAGTTCACATCAATATCCAAGTAGACAGGATTATCTCGTAACAATACAATATAACACTCACTAACGTCACATAACAACCTATTTCTAAAATGATTACCAGTATATAATCATAATCATTTTTGTGTCACAATACTTTAATTGATTTACTTAAGCATTGAACTGCTTTTGTATGGTAGTTATGATCTATTTGAATGACACAGCTTTGCAAGCAAACAACATAATGCGCGCTAGCTGTGTTTATTTACATTGGATATTGTAGTTCCGGTCAGTGTTGTAATTAATACGCTAAGAATTGTGTCTCGTGCGGCATGGTAATTATGTCTCGTGCGGCATGGTAATTAAAGTCCCATCAACGACACAGCTCTCAAAGAGGCTATATAGTGACAATGCCATGCAAATGTAAATATTTAAGTTTAATTAATTGGATTTTCTTTTTTCAATTATCAGACTCAATCTAAAGGCTGAAAGAACATTCATTCATGTGATATTTTAAATCCAAAGATATTTAATTTTGCTTGCAAATCTGGAAATTTTTCCAAACATAATATATAATTAATAAAAAGTTAAAGATAGTACCCTGTTAGTTTACTGCAGGCCTTTCACTAAAACAAAGATTGCGTTTCACCATATATATTTTTTCATTTTGAAAGAGAAGTTTTTAATTTTCATCAATACCTCTAGTAAACCCACACCAACATATGGATTTATGCAGTCAGTTAGTTCATATGCATGAAGCTAAATAGTTGGCATATTATTTTTAGCACATACTGTACAGGATGAGGCTTAGGTATCAAATCGGTATCCCTTGTTTACACGGTACTGGTATTTTTACGTTATTTTGATATAAGTGAAATCTTCTTCGCAACACATCTTCCTGTTTCTTGCCTTCGTAGTTATGACGCACATAGAAATCGTCGGTGAAGTTGGTAAACTATAACACAGCAGCATATCTTAATTATAAATAGATTGTATGGTGTGCAGTACAGTATATAACTTTACTTCAATGTGGCTGAATTACCATGTCTGGTGTCTGTGATACAAAGTATACTTATAATTATGTAATCTATATATTGCTAAAATGTGTACATTCTTCTTTTTATTAATTTATGTCAATTAAAACTGTATATTTGTACAAAGGAATTAATATCTGGCAGATTTTGTATAAAAAAATATAAAAAGGTTTTCAGATATCTATATTGATATTGATACTATGGAACTCTTATGAAGCATTTAGTCCATTGTGTAGAAAGCATTATTTGTGCAGTAAAAATTGGTTAAAAAAACCCAACATACCTCCAGAATATCATCCAATGAAACAATATCAATTTGTTCAACTAACACCTTGCATGTTTATCATATTCTAGAGTGCGAAAAACCTATAAAATTTATGGGAAGAATATGTAAAAAATAAAAAATAATAAATATATATAAGTGTATATTATCAGTGTTTTCGCCAGAATCATTTTAATTTGGAGATGCATTCCATACTGTGTACAAAAAAACAATAACATTTTTGATATTGTAGGTTGGTATTCTTTGGCAAAGTAGTTAAATTTTCCATTTAGCTAGTACATATGGTAATAAAATATGTAATTTTATTATTTTTGTCGAATTATCTTTTAAGATGCAAGATCCTATAATATAGTATTCCATAGTTCAGCTGGCTGCTTTCTATAGAAATGGTTAATTTGGATTTTTTTACAGAAATTAAAATGTTCAGACTCCATATACTGGTTGTCCATTTAACAAAAGATATTGTAGCAGTGTTCTTAAAATTTGAGTCCTGTTTAGGTTATGTACGAATGGATATTTTCAGTGAAAATATTATTAGAATAAAAGTCCCTTATGAAGTGTCACTGTGTGTCAAAACTTGTGTCCTTAAGATTTACATTTTTTTTCAAATCAAATAATTCTGAAGATAGTCAAACCTGTTTGATAAACCACTTTTTTAAGAGACCACTTTAAAAATTCCTCATTCATCTCAAGTCATTTTTCCCATGTTAACTGAACCTGTCTTAAGTGACCACCTGTAAGATGAGACCACTTCATGGACTTCCTGATAGTGATCTATGAATACAGGTTTGACTGTTACTAAATTATCTAATACCTAAGAATATATGCTACCTTATACCTGAAATTTATATAAGTTATCTCCCCTTACAAACCATATTTCTGTTATATTGCCGTTACCTACAGTAAGGCTACATTCCCGTATCCGGTTGAAACGGTTGAACCAGTTGAACCTGTAAAGAAAACGACAGGTACAGATTTGGACCGAGGCTGACCTCAGGAAAATTTGGTACTTGTAGATTGAGGGGTCCAGACGTACCTGACCGAAACTAAAATGCTGACTATTGCCAATTTGCGTTATTTCTTTCTTAAACAATGTCAAGTTACATGTAATTTTTAAGATACGTTATGTAATTTAGTGGACGCGTGAGAGAAGGGCATAATATTCTTGATACATTTTTTTTATTCTCCGAAACTGTGGATTTTTAGCTCTGCTTATAGAACGGTCCAAGTGTGTTCGTTTATCGTGGAAAATTTCTGCGCCACACGGACCGTTTCAACCGGGATACACGAATGAAGCCTAACTACTGGCGTGTATTTTTGTACAAGTTGTTGGATACAGTTATCTGTCTAGCTAGTTCACCACCTGGCTTCTGTGACTGTTCAGTCAGTATTATCATGTACTGATGTAAAGCAACATCGAGTGGCATGTGTGCAGTACTTTATAATGGTTGATTACTAGACATGGGTCAACTCTCCAGGTAATCTGTTACACTTATCAGGTATAATGCCAACAAACAAAACAACACTAGTTCTTTAATAATTTGACTTTTAATTTTAATATTCGTGTTGACACAAAGCAATATAGCTGTGTTATTCACTCCTTCCCAATGAGTTAATCCTCAAAGTAACAATTTCTTTCAACATTCTTTCTCTCTTCATGCATTCAACATCCATGAAACTTTAAAACAATATTAAGTGTGAGGACCTTGTAAATACATATCCAGCTCTAATCCCGGTCAAAGCAGCTGACTTTTTGAAATATATAGATTACTCATTCACCCCTGAAACTTTATAATGATCTATTCGAAAGAATTGGAAGAGTTCAAATTTTCCTTTGGGGGTGAACAATTTAATACAAACGAACTGGAGACATCATACCAGTTCCCAAATTGCAGTCAATTACCTTAAATTTAAAATAACAGGGTCTATGTAAACTTCTCTCTTAAATATCAAAACATATTGATACCGATAACAAAACCTTAACATCATAATTAATATGTGTACACATAACTTACTTTTCATAAGTAACCCACATATGAAGTGGCAATATTGCTGGTCCCCTACTGGGAATTTAATGATGAGCACACAAACATGTAGAAACTGAAAGTTTTCAATTTTATGGCTCTAAGGTTAATTTGAGTGGTACATTTTCGTGGCGAACACTTGTTAAGTTCTATCCAGAAGTATATCATCTATAAGCACTATATGCAGAGATGTACATACAAACTTCAACAAATTCAAGGTGTCTTGATACAAAGATATGCACACAATTTGGAAATTGAAGGTGACAGATGGCCTGTGACATGCTTGGACAAAGGTGAACGAAGGGCCATAACTCTGCATTTATTTGGGCACCAGACCCAATAACAGTATGTGACATTCACCTATCTCAAGAAATATTAAAGTCTTGCATACAATATCTAACAATTGTAGGTGACTTTATAAATTAGTATATAAAATATGCCCTGGACAGAGTGACACACAGACAGACCACTGGAGGGAGTGCACTGTGACCCTTTCCCATATCTGATTCAACCGGTGTCTTTTTTTAAATGTAACATTTTCAGGTATAAATCCTGGTGGACCTGCAAATGTTTATGCAGGCCTTGCAAGACTTCGTCAAGGCTCGCCTGAAAGCAGCATCAGATTAATAGGTCGAAACTTATTTCATAAACGATCAACTCTGGTCCAACCGGTTAAACCGTTTGGATTGCGATAAACGACCGCTGCCCTATAGATCTCTCCAGTACTACTGTTGAGGGTCTAATAATAATAAATTAGCCATTAATGAAAATTAACTGATATGCAGTTAATGCAACAACCTGTTGTAAATTTCTCCATGAAATGAATGTGAAGATTGAAACATTTCTCCCGTGAACTCTTCCTTCAACATGACATCAAGCCCGGCTGAACATTATAGGATGGCCACAATGGAGAAAAGAATATACATCAACAAGACGGAGATCTCCAATGAACTATGACCTGTGGATTTTAATAGCCACTGTTGTCCGTTCACAATCTAGGGTGATTTTCTTTTTAAACCAGTCTCTTGTCCGTGAAAATGAAGTGACGCTCAATTCTTGTTCCGTTGCTTGTCCTTGTAGCTGTAACTTTTATTGGATTTGGATGTTGAATATTTGGGTTTAGGTGCCTGGAAAAAACAAAACAGTGAATTTAAACTTGTGGTTTTAAGTCCAATTATAAATGTAGCCTATTACATTCAATCTCAGTGAGCTCCCAATCTTTTATCAGCATCCCCTTACTTTTTTCTGATTAGTGTTTTGGCCCTTCTAAAGGTTTGTTTGGTTTGTGTTTTACCTCCTATTAACAGCTGTGGTCATTTAAGGACGTGCCAGGTTTTGGTGGAGGAAAGCCAGAGTTCCCAGAGAAAAATCACCAACCTACAGCCAGTACCTGGCGACTACCCCACGTAGGTCTCAAACCCGCGACCCACTGGTAGAGGGTTAGTGGTAGCAGAATGTCAGACACCTCAACCACTTGGCCACCGTGGCCCCTCCCTTCTAAAGAAGTTATTTACTTACTGGGGTAAGATGTCTACTGCATAAAAGTCTATCACAAAGTTCAAAGAAACGACCTGATCCTGTAATCTGTAGGATTTAAACCCATGAACCTACTTTCTGGGCCAGCAGAGATCTTGTTGAAATCTGTATATATCTGGTCGCGAAACAGTAAAATTGACAGGCTTTGAAGTTTTCTGTCACTCCTCTGTAATCTTCAAAGCTAGAAGCTTGCCTTCAATTTTGCTATGACATACTCCAGGGGTGCAGAGAGCAAAATTGAGCATAGCCCCTGGAGTGTCGAGGATGTGGTACAGTAGGTAAAAGAGATTCTGCCAGAGCGTTGGGCCAAAGTAATCCAAATTCCAACAAGATCTGGTGGATAGCGAGATAAATCTTCTTAAATTCACCAAAAATTCTTGTAATTATGGTAATAACCATTCGCAGAGCAATGCACTTACCTTGTTACCCTTGCCCTTTGCCCCATAGTATCTGTTGGGGTTATATACATCTGATTTATTGGCAGCACCACCTACAATGAATATGAATGTTTAATAATTATATGAACAGTTTAAAATACATCTCTTTTAATTTATTGTCATTATTTATCAACATTTCCTAATAGTACATATAACATATGGGTTCCCTAACTAAGTAACTTTGTATACAGGTTAATAAGGCACAACCAGTGAGATATTTATATGTGACGTTTTGTCAAACAACCGGTTTGTCCATTTATAAATGTAACAATTCAGGGTAAATATCCTGGCAGACCTGCAAATGTTTGTGTAGGCCTTGCAAGGCTTTTGTTAAGGCTCGCCTGAAAGCAGCATCGGATTACTAGGTCCGACCTAATTTAATCAACCAACAACTGCGGTCAGACTGGTTTCACTGTTTAAACGAAAACGGCCTAGTACAATATGTACTCTGCCATCTTCATGAGACAAATGCAGTGTTCTTGCTAAGTTTTGAAAGAACAGTCGTTTGAATGATTACTTGCATTTATAATGTTGACGTATACCTATACATATTCTGAAAAACAACCAGTTCAAAGTTGATGAACAGCAGGCTACTATTGCCGGCAACTGGCTATGAACGAGAACACTGCAAATGCAGACAAAAGTATTTTCTACTTTGGAGCATTTTATTACTTAAGATGTCACCTGAGCTGAGAGACAAGTTTTCAAAACTCAACATTGCATTTATTTTCAGGTTGACTGAACCTGTATTAATTGACCACCTGCAATTGGAAACCACTTTATTAGCTTTTAGAAGATGTGGTCTCTGATTTGGGAAAATCATTCTCTCATACCCTGAAACATGCTGCTGTCTGTCTTGCTGTAGTCATAAGGTTGGAAACTATCCTCCAGATCTACCATGCTGTTGGTCTTCTTTTTCTTTTTTTTCTCGTCTGCCTCTGTCAAATCTTTTGTTACGCCTATTTTATCCACCTTTTGCAACTTGCTGTACTTGGCTTTCAATATCTGGAAATTATATTAAATTTAAAAATCAAATCAAATCAGAGTAGAAAGCTCATCTAGAAATTATAATTACTTTTTGGACAAAACTGCAAAATTTCCAAAAATCCGTACTTAACCACATCCTTTAATTTCATGAAGACTTTCCTGCAAATGACATCAAAATGTTTTATGACTGAAACATGAAAACAAACCTGAGAGATTATTTTGGGGTGTTGGTAACAGACCAGAGAGAGAGTTTTGTGGGGTGTTGGTAACAGACCTGAGAGAGAATTTTGGGGAGTGTTGGTAACAGACCTGAGAGAGAGTTTTGTGGAGTGTTGGTAACAGATCAGAGAGAGTTTTGTGAGGTGTTGGTAACAGACCTGAGAGAGTTTTGTGGGGTGTTGGTAACAAACCAGAGAGAGAGTTTTGGGTCAATAAATAACAAAGTTATTAGCCAGGTTTTGTGAGGTGTTGGTAACAGACCTGAGAGAGTTTTGTGGGGTGTTGGTAACAGACCTGAGAGAGAGTTTTGTGGAATGTTGGTAACAGACCTGAGAGAGAGTTTGGGGGAGTGTTGGTAAGAGACCGGAGAGAGAGATAGTTTTGTGGGGTGTTGGTACCAGACCTGAGAGAGAGTTTTGTGGAATGTTGGTAACAGACCTGAGAGAGAGTTTTGTGGAGTGTTGGTAAGAGACCTGAGAGAGAGATAGTTTTGTGGGGTGTTGGTACCAGACCTGAGAGAGAGAGAGTTTTGTGGGGTGTTGGTACCAGACCTGAGAGAGAGTTTTGTGGGGTGTTGGTAACAGACCTGAGAGAGAGTTTTGTGGGGTGTTGGTAACAGATCTGAGAGAGTTTTGTGAGGTGTTGGTAACAGACCTGAGAGAGAGTTTTGTGGGGTGTTGGTAACAGACCAGAGAGAGAGTTTTGTGGGGTGTTGGTAACAGACCTGAGAGAGAGTTTTGTGGGGTGTTGGTAACAGACCTGAGAGAGAGTTTTGTGGGGTGTTGGTAACAGACCTGAGAGAGAGTTTTGTGGGGTGTTGGTAACAGACCTGAGAGAGAGTTTTGTGGGGTGTTGGTAACAGACCTGAGAGAGAGTTTTGTGGGGTGTTGGTAACAGACCTGAGAGAGAGTTTTGTGGGGTGTTGGTAACAGACCTGAGAGAGAGTTTTGTGGGGTGTTGGTAACAGACCTGAGAGAGAGTTTTGTGGGGTGTTGGTAACAGACCTGAGAGAGAGTTTTGTGGGGTGTTGGTAACAGACCTGAGAGAGAGTTTTGTGGGGTGTTGGTAACAGACCTGAGAGAGAGTTTTGTGGGGTGTTGGTAACAGACCTGAGAGAGAGTTTTGTGGGGTGTTGGTAACAGACCTGAGAGAGAGTTTTGTGGGGTGTTGGTAACAGACCTGAGAGAGAGTTTTGTGGGGTGTTGGTAACAGACCTGAGAGAGAGTTTTGTGGGGTGTTGGTAACAGACCTGAGAGAGAGTTTTGTGGGGTGTTGGTAACAGACCTGAGAGAGAGTTTTGTGGGGTGTTGGTAACAGACCTGAGAGAGAGTTTTGTGGGGTGTTGGTAACAGACCTGAGAGAGAGTTTTGTGGGGTGTTGGTAACAGACCTGAGAGAGAGTTTTGTGGGGTGTTGGTAACAGACCTGAGAGAGAGTTTTGTGGGGTGTTGGTAACAGACCTGAGAGAGAGTTTTGTGGGGTGTTGGTAACAGACCTGAGAGAGAGTTTTGTGGGGTGTTGGTAACAGACCTGAGAGAGAGTTTTGTGGGGTGTTGGTAACAGACCTGAGAGAGAGTTTTGTGGGGTGTTGGTAACAGACCTGAGAGAGAGTTTTGTGGGGTGTTGGTAACAGACCTGAGAGAGAGTTTTGTGGGGTGTTGGTAACAGACCTGAGAGAGAGTTTTGTGGGGTGTTGGTAACAGACCTGAGAGAGAGTTTTGTGGGGTGTTGGTAACAGACCTGAGAGAGAGTTTTGTGGGGTGTTGGTAACAGACCTGAGAGAGAGTTTTGTGGGGTGTTGGTAACAGACCTGAGAGAGAGTTTTGTGGGGTGTTGGTAACAGACCTGAGAGAGAGTTTTGTGGGGTGTTGGTAACAGACCTGAGAGAGAGTTTTGTGGGGTGTTGGTAACAGACCTGAGAGAGAGTTTTGTGGGGTGTTGGTAACAGACCTGAGAGAGAGTTTTGTGGGGTGTTGGTAACAGACCTGAGAGAGAGTTTTGTGGGGTGTTGGTAACAGACCTGAGAGAGAGTTTTGTGGGGTGTTGGTAACAGACCTGAGAGAAAGTTTTGCGGGGTGTTGGTAACAGACCTGGGAGAGAGTTTTGTGGGGTGTTGGTAACAGACCTGAGACAGTTTTGTGAGGTGTTGGTAACAGACCTGGGGGAGAGTTTTGTGTGGTGTTGGTAACAGAGCTGGGAGAGAATTTTGTGGGGTGTTGGAAACAGACCTGAGAGAGGGTTTTGTGGGGTGTTAGTAACAGATCTGAGAGGGTTTTGTGGGGTGTTGGTAACAGACCTGAGAGAGAGTTTTGTGGAGTATTGGTAACAGACCTGGGAGAGAGTTTTGTGTGGTGTTGGTAACAGACCTGAGATAGTTTTGTGGAGTGTTGGTAACAGACCTGAGAGAGAGTTTTGCGGGGTGTCGATTCTTGCTCTGCCTCCTGTTCTTTCTTTTCCCCACTTTCATCCTTTTTCTGTCGTTTGGTGGGAGGACCTGCAGAGAGAGAATCCCATCCTTACATTATCAGTGCAACTGTGCAGTACAAGTTTAAACATATTTAAGGATATATGTTACTTTTAACATGGAGACTGGCATCTTCTTTACACGAGAGTTCTATATTAAGAATAGTCAGGTACACATTAATTTATGGCACATTTCACAAGGTTGACAAAAATTGAAGAACAGTTAATTGAGTTATCGCGTAAACAAGAAAAAGTAAATGGCAAAAACGTAAAGTGTGATATGCCAAAATGTGTTAAGTTGAAACCCAACAGAAAAACCTGTAATATATGAGAACATTATTACTTGTAACATTACCGTACAAAATTTGAAAGGAATTGATTTAAAAATAAAAACATTTTTGCATTTACTACACAATGCCCTTATATGGAAATAAAAGGAGCATTACTCCACCAAAAGTACAAGTAAACTTCTTAAATACAAACTCGTTAGAGCTTTATTAGTATTCAATATGTGTACCAAGTATCATCAAGATATGTACATGAATGAAGGCAGGAGAGCGATGACAAGGAAAAGTTGATGGATGGACAGTCTGACGGACAACACAGCCCATACCATAATACGACCCGTCGGATGACGGGTGTATACAAATCCAATTTATGTATCATTATTTTGTTTTGTCTATGAAATGTTCTGAGTTTTTAATGTACTTCATTTTCTCTGGATTATAAAATGGATACCTGGAGCAGGAGATGATGCAGCTGTTCCCTCGGGTAGTTTTCGTTTGATTGTGTTCTTGACTAGTTTCCAGTTCATATCAATCTACAAAACACAAAGTTTGTAAGTCTTATTTTAATTTAACTTTCAACACCCAAAAGCTTTGACATTTTCTGTATAACTTGTAAATTATAGATGCTGTATATCAGGTAGCTGGCAAATATTTTCCTATCGCCAGTAAAGTCTTCAAGTTGATTATGTCTTTACAGTGTAATTACAGCACGTTGTATGTCGGGAACTAACAATCTGGTTTTAGTTTTGGTTTGTTTGTGTTTTACGTCCTACTAACAGCTATGGTCATTTAAGAACGTGCCAGGTTTTGGTGGTGGAGGAAAGCAGGAGTTTCCGGAGAAAAACCACTGACCTATGGTCAGTCCATGGTGACTGCTCCACGTAGGCCTTGAACCCGCGCCCCAGGTGGAGGGCTAGTGGTAGTAGGATGTCAGACACCTTTACCACTTGGCCACCACAGGCCCTGGGAGCTAACAAATATGGTCGTATTGAATTTGTCGTAATTATGGAGTGTGAATAAAGGCAGACCTTAAACTCTGGAGAACATTTCTCTGCATACATCAATATTTCAGTTTACCACATAATGTACCGTGTTATCCAGTGAATATACCCATGTCATATTTTTTTCCGATTAACCCATGTAATATGACCTATCAGCCCTGTGAGTGGTTGTAAGTTTCAATTATTTCAATTGTGACGTCACGCCTAGGACAAGTACATGACGTCACAGACTTACGCACCGAGTCAAAATGGCGACTTTTTACATTTCAAGGTCTCAGGAAATTGTTGTTTTACACAAATAAATGTCACAAATCTTTATTGTGATAAAAAGGGTCTTACACTCGTTTTCATTTTAAATGAAATTGATGAAACTTGCCACAAATTTTTCAGTTTAGCTCGTCAGAGGCTCGCTAAATTGAAAAAAATCTTAAGACTCGTTTCATAAATCTCATTTGAAATGGAAACTTGTGTAAGATCCTATATTTATTGTTTCAAATGACAATTCCTGGAAATATAAATTGTAAGTCTCACCAAATGTATTTCTCTAGATGAGTCTGAATTCAGTTTTGCTGGTGTCTTCACTGGAGATTCCTTTGTAACAGGCAAATACTGCAAATATACAGACACATTGTAATTGATATGGTATATCTCAATTAACAGGAACTTTGTAATATTAGGGTTATTCCATAATTAATTGGATGGGGGAGTTTGGAGGCATCTGTATTAACATATTAAAGGTGGTGGGTTGATCACTTTCATGAATATAAGTGGCATGGAGCTTCTGCAAAAACGTGCCTCCCATCCCTCCAATAGGGTTATTTCTGGAACAGCCCTACTATGCCATGCAAAAACTGTGGGACTACTTACAGTAAAATTAGAGTGAAACAAATGAAAGTAATTTCATTATAGCATATGGCAGGTAATTCTAAAGCTGAATATTTGGCAGGTACACATCTAGATTTCCAAAAGCTAAAGTCTGAGACAGAGGTTGAAATGGTCAAATAAAAGGTATACGTTGTCGCCAACATTTTAATCTTCAGTTGTGAAGTGTTCTGATTCTCACCAACAATGGAGAGTTCCCGAAGGGCATAAATGGCAAAGATTGTTGTTATTTTCTTGGCAAAGGTTAATTGTAATGACAGACACAACAGGAATATTTTCCCCGAGTAGATATGATGATGAGCAGTCTTCATGACACCTGGTGGTAACTTATTAAAAACATATAATCATAATATAAATCAGATGGCAATAGACCTGTATGTTTACCAAGTTAGGGGGCAATCTAAAATTATTTGGCTTCTTATAGATCACCAAATGTTATATTGCGACCTATTAATATTAAATTTCAGTTTTTGGAACCAAATTACCAATACATGTAATAGATTATTTGCACTTTTCACATTAAATAAATTTCAGAAGTTTTCCTATCCGTTAGTTAGAAATTGTTTTTGTCAGTCACACAGTTGCTAAGGAACCATTAAAGCCATTTTGGTCTCTGTGGAGTATAACATATAGATAGGTAGATAGATCTAAATAGAAGGAGACATGCAGCAAAATAGAAATCAATTACTGTATGAATTGGGTGGAAATCCTAACGCCTATGACATTAACCTATATTTTTCTGTTATGATGTCAAAACTAGATCATAGAAATGCCAACAAGTAATGGAAAATCAGCATATGGATCAGTGACATTCTACAGCAGAAATGGTTAACACAACAAATTTAGGCATTATCCCACCAGTACAAACATTGTACTACGGTATACAAGCATTGTCCCACCAGTACAAACATTGTACTATGGTATACAAGCATTGTCCCACCAGTACAAACATTGTACTATGGTATACAAACATTGTCCCACCAGTACAAACATTGTTCTATGGTATACAAACATTGTCCCACCAGTACAAACATTGTACTATGGTATACAAACATTGTCCCACCAGTACAAACATTGTA